CGATGCAGAGATTTATAATACCTTGAAGAGGAAAACATCATTCTCAATGCCACAGAGTACTACTAAGTCCTAACTCTGAGCTTCTCATTGTTAGACACCATTGCCTTCTTCCCCTCCTCCTCATTTTAACAGAAGCAACAGCATTTAATTTAATCCACCCAGAAGCAATGAGAGAGTCAGCAGCTGATATACAGCTAGTGCTGGTTAGAACTCTGAATTACTGTTTTGTGAAGAATGTCAACATTTTGACATTTGTTGCTATTCTCAGGGTAGAAAGGAACTACATATTCATCTGGAAATTTTGAAATGTCACACTGAACTCGCAAATTTAACTCTGAATTTCAGAATTTCACCTTCTACTTCATTTTACATTAGCTTTCAGTCTTTTTTAAGTTATTAAATGCCAAAGTAGAGTATTTTAAATAAGCCTTTTTAATTCTACTTTGTTCTGCTTTATTTTAGCATATTAAAGCTATGGGAAGCCACTGTCCCACACTGACAGAAAACCAACTTCAACCATCATTTTACTCTGTCTCCAAATTCCATCCAGTGGAAATTTCTGACACTTGACTTTTGTGAAGAAGACACTTGGGTGGAGACACAAAATTTTTGGTGAGAAGCACTATACAGGCTGCCTACCTTTCTCCACCAAGTCAAAAGCAACACTAAGAAAGAATATATCCCTGTGACAGCAGGAGGGAATCTGGCAGACTGCATTTATTCATCTGCAGAGAACAAAAAATTTCTAGTCACTAGATTAACAGCAAACAGCAAGTGAATTAGTCTCAGTTCAAACACAGGTGCCGGAGGTATCCACTTTATGTGAGTGATGGCAGACTGTAAAAATTATTAAACCAGTACCAGACAAGTGCATCAGTCACAGCAAAGGACACCAGCGAGTATATGTTTCTGAGGCAAAGATGAAACTTCCAAGTGAATGTCTCCATCACAGGTATTAAATCAGTGGAAAAACTGGCAAAAGCTGTGTAAAATGAGAAAACAGTGAGCCATCATAGTCCTTTTTGGGCACTGCAAGCTTCATGAGACTGTGAAGGTGCTGGGTGCAGCAGGCAGAAAAGAAACCACCTCCAGCAGCGCAGAAACGATGCGGTGGCCGAGGTCTGCTAATCACGAGTGGTCACCACCACCAAAACCGTGCAAAAGCATAAGCTGCCTTACGATTTCCAACTGTCTCTCTACTTTTCATGATGCTAACCTCAAAAGGTGCACAACACTGAAGGGTCATGTGAAGAGGAGGCCACTGATGGTTCTTTATGTGTGAAGGGGGACAGTGGGACCGGTGGCTGGTTTGGGCTGACCAGGTTAAGGAACTCATGCACTTGTGCCATGTCAGGGAGAACAGACACAGCTACTGCAGGAACACTGCTCCCTTTCTCCTTCTAGAAAATCTGCAGCAAAGGAGCATGGATTTGGATGCTGCACTAAATCAGAGCTACAAGACACTTTTGTCCTCACCGAATTGGTAAATTGTTCTCAAGAGGTCAGTGTGTTTGTTAAGATTTCCCCCATTCTGGACCAAAACCACAAGCTCTCTCAAATTACTTCAGTGATACCCAGTTTGGATGTTGAAAATGTGCAGGTTCCTTTATGAAGGAATGTGGTTCCCCAAGCCTATGAGTAGAAGAAGGAGAATAGCTGGGATCTGAGACCTAGAAAGAACAGATCTCCCAGTGGCCAGATCTCCCAGGAGATACATGAGGTTGCTGAAAGGTTCACAAATCTACCTGGGAGACATGTAATAGTGTCTCAAAAACACTCAAACACGACCAAAAGCAGTAAAAGGACCTAGACCTATTTCAAGATATGAGAGCTCAACAAAGGTATTTAGTGTCTCACCAGTCCAGCACAGAAACATTTGATGATAGCTAAGCTGGTCGGTGGTGGGAGTTTTATCAACCCTGCTTTGGCCACAGGGTAAAGTTTCAGTAATTCTCCATGACAGCAATGTGCTTTGTCATTTGTCCACTGCGGACATTGTGGTGCCAGAAATCAGTGCACCTAATGGGCCACTCTGATCTTGGGCACTTCGGTCTTCGGGAGGGAGAAGTTAAAAGAGCGGCTACAGATTTTGACTTGGTCTGAGTAGGCACAGCACTGCTGGCAAAAAGTACAGGAGTAGTTGATCGTGTCACATGTTTCTGTGATGGTCTCATGAGAGCTCTGCTGCTGCTTCTACAGAAATCCCCACCACCTACCATCCAGAGGAGAAAGCTCCTGAGGTTTTTCAGCCCTTGAAGCACATGGAGGTTTAAATGAGGACATGCACTTCACCAGATCATTTCCTAACTAGGACTTGGGCACTAATGCTAGACGGGGTGCTGCGAAAGACTAAAATGCCCAGAGGTTTCACATGCATGATTCTCACTCCATAACTGGCCCAAGGACAGAATGCAATGCAGAGTTGTGAGTGAGTAAAACTCATTGTTCTCAGCAGGCTTTAAGAACCAGTACAGATTATTTGCTGTTCCCATACCAATCAGATTTATTTTGGATCAGCAGCGACTTCAACATGATTAGTACACAGCAAAAAGCACTGAGCCACAATGCCATGGACCTCCTTCTAGCCAGAATGCCAAATATATACTTTTTTTTTGACCCTTTAAAAGCCGTTAACAAATTAAATGAAAAATTTAACCTCTCAAAGTGATGGATCATATTAGAATTAAGAACTATGAACTTTTAATCTGCTACAATATCCTTAACGTGTTGCACACAAAGTGCATTCAAGATAAAGAATGTACTATTTTGAATACATTTAGAAATTGGTTTATATTTTAAAATCATTCCCTTGCAAGAAATAAAATTCCTAAAGGTCGTCTTGCATTTTATGTGATATGCACTTCTTATCCTGAATTCTCAAATCTATTTCCTTAACTGAAAGACCTCAAACCAACCTTGAAAAGGCAAAACACACCAAAATGCAGAAGCCAGTTGCGTTCAGGAAAATAAGTTAACATTCATATTGTAGCCAAGTCAAATTACAGTGACAGTTCTATCAGATATCTGGCTCTCATATAGCCTTTCTTTTTTTTTTTCCTTTTAAATAAAATAATTCCAAATGTTGATTTTATGAATTACTTAGCCTGCAGAGGAAGAGAACAGCACGCAGTATGCTTTATTACTGAGCATTTCCTGTAAAGACTCTTAGATCACCTTCAATTCTTCATCAATTAAACTATATATGTTACAAAGCAACAATTGAGCAGAATCTGCCACCAATATCTTACAGAAGATTTGTAAGCTAAAAAGTGAAATAGGTAACAACACAGTTATTTAGTAAGTTGGATGAGAAAGAAAGTTTCTGGAGGGATTTATCACCAAGCAAATAATAGTCTGTTCTGCAGAAGAACTGAAATTATTTTTATAGAGATATTTATGAAGTATTTCTGCATGTGTATTTGCAAATGCCACGTGCACACACACACAAACATATATATAAAAATATATATATGCAAACATGAAACCCCAAACTTGAGCTAAATTAAACTGTCCCTCCAGCTTTGTAATGCAAATGAGACTAACAGGCTTGTGCTGTTTGTGGTTCAAGATGATTTGCGTTTCCATAGAGATGCTGACTGAACTACAGTTTTTAAATTTTTTATATATATAAGCTTACTTGTATCTATAAAAGTCTAAATATGGATCTGCTGTACCTCAGCATTTCCTCAGTGACTCCAATGGAACCACAACAATTTACACCAGTTAAGGCTATGTGCAAATTTTGTGTCTTTTTGTGACTTTTCAGTTTAAGCTCTATGCTAAGTACTTGCAGAGCTGAGAGTTTGCTGTTTCTCTCCCTAGTCCTAAGCTTCTTGGTAAGGAAGGGAAAGAAAAGAGAAAAAGCAGTTTCTTAGCTGCTAGTAGATAATATTTTAAGGACTTGTGTAATTTCTTGCCCTCTCTAAACTGCCTAGAGGAACATCTTTGCCTTCAAAAGTTCCCACTGCCAGGAAACCTAGAATTCAAGGAAGATCGTCTGTGTGCTGTTAAGAGAAGGAAATAACAAGAGGACAGAGTTTCTGCTATGTATCAGAAGCTTTTTCCCCTTTCCCTGTCAGCACCCACAAGCTCAAGAGCAGGATGTGCTCAGACATGCCAGGGTGGGCCTGGGCAGCGATGGTGTCACTGTCTCCCTGCCTCACCCTTCAGTGGAGACTCAGCTTGTCATGCACCAGGGCCCTGCAAAGCTACAGTGCCTGTGTGCCCCCAGAGCCACATTAAAGACTTCAACCAGCAGAAGTGACAAAAGCCAGACAGGGTCAGCTTGAGCAGAGAAACCAGGCAGACCAGTTTAACTTTCTATTTCAACTTGACTTCACTTTATGAGGTCCGGGCACTGGTTGAAGTGGATGGAGGCCACCCAGCATATCATCACCGGAGAAGAAAACCAGAGCTAAGCTCTGTGGGAACTCATTTCCATGTGGTTTCAGTGATAAGTGATCTTTGAACAGCAACACACCAGAGGACAACCTCCACAATCACTCTGAACCACAATCAAAACCATCCTCCTGTGTACCTCCCATCTGCCTGAGGAGAGGGAGGATTACGAATTGAACCAGGGTTCAACTCAGGTCTACAAGCACATGGAGCAGAAGCTCTCACCCAGCCCCTCACTTCATCTTGGGAGGGCCCAGAAGAGAAGACCCCAGTGCAGCGATGCTGTACGGAGGCATGGCCAGGGAGCTCCTTGGGCAATGGTATGTCACAGGAACAAAGCCTCCCTCCTGCCTGTGGGGTGACACCATACCTCCACATGTTACACTGGCTCACACTTCAAGGCTGATGGCTTTTCTAAGCCCCCACAAAGCCTCTTTTCAAAGCAGATGAGACGTCCCTATTTCCAGCTTTTAGAAGCCATACAGAGGAAGACCTGCCCCACATCCCCAATGGCACCACTTTCCCTTTCAGGGAGGGTCCCAGGCCACGTTCAGCCATGCGGCTCTCCAATCCCCTGGGGGGTGAGCACCCACATCTCCTACCTTCTGCTGCAGGGTGGGTGGCTGCGGGGCCAGCACCGGGTCAGTGATATACGTCTTCTTAGTGCCTGGTGGCTGGTAGAGGCCAGGAGGAGCCTGGCCCATGGCATTACTAGCAGGATACGCTGGCTCAGCCTTCCAGGAGCTCTGCGGCACATAGGGTGCTTCGGAGCCGTTCCTTCCTCCGTACCCCCCGTAGTAGGGGTCCTGGTAGCGGCCCTGCGGAGGTGCGTATCCATAGGCGGGCTCCGCAGGCCGGGCGGGCGGTGGAGCGTAGCCGTAGTCGGGCCCGTGGGGCTGAGGCGCTCCATACTGTGGGGCAGCGGGCTGGCGGGATGGCGGGGCCGCGTAGGGCTGGCCGTGCCCGAGGCTGCCATAGTGCGCGGGCTGCGGGCCGGGCGGCTGGTAGTGTGGGCTGGGCTGTGCCGTCCTCACCTGGACGTTGAAGGCCGGGCGGCTGGGTGTGGAGGCCGTGGCGTAGGAGGCCGGCACTGGCTGCGGCTTCAGGGTGCCCACGGGAGTGACCGGGATGGGCGCCGGCTGCCCTGGGCCCTTGGCCGTGGACTTTTTGGTGGCGGTCAGCGGAGGCTGGTTGGGGATGATCATCCGCTTGTGGCCAGTAACAGGGGTAGACACAGATGGGGTGGTGGCGGCGGAGCTGCTCGAGGTCCCGGAGACCTGGGGAGCAAGGAAAGAGAGACACAGCGTCAGCAGGAGGGGCCTCTCAGGCGCCAGATCAAGCAGCGAGGGGTTAGGTTGGAAAGAGGGATTTACAGTAACATCTGTGCAGCAACTCAAACTGCTTAGGAAAGCAGGAATGTACCTGAGACCATGCATTATAAAATGGTAATAGCAACCTTCCCTTGCTCTGACAGAACAGGGACAGCACCACGGCAGTCGAGTAGAACTGCCGTGCGTGGCATTTCATCTCTCCTTGGAGTTTCCTCCTCTGCCTCCAAACAAACAACCAAACAAACAAACTAAAAGATAATATATGAAAAAAAAAAGGGGAGACTCATTGGAAAATAATCAGGGGAAACTCCAGGCATTTCTTTGAAAATGAGAGTGTTTTGAAAAAGAGAGAAAATGAGATTATAGTCTCTATGGAAACATGAAATTCCTTGGGTCCCTAGAGGACCTGTAGGGTTCTGCCCCAATACAGGAGCACCTTTAACTGTGCAGGAGGCAGCAGGGTGGGATGGCCTAAAAGTAGGTCCCAAACTGTAAGAATCAACTTAAATCAAAGCCGAACATGGAGGTGTCCCTACCCTGGATGTGCTGGTTGAAAACCTGGAGTGACCCTAGAGAAAGCAAATGTTACACATGGTTCATCAAAGGGCAGGAAGGTGGGTAGGATTCCCAAGAGCTTCAGAAGTCAGCTCCCACCATGGCAGTCATGTAACTCTGCACCAGTGCCCCAGGCACAGCTGGGGCAGCCAGGGAAGAGGATCACAGTAAATGCTGCTGTTGCCTGCAACTTGGCCATGGAATGAAGCTTTGGTGCAGTGACGCCGACCTCATAGGCACTGTACATCCTTCAGTCTAATGCACTTGTTTGTTTGGTTTACCTTGCATTTAAATGTTCAAAAACATCAGTGTGAAAAGGCATCTTTGTTAAAAAACTAATAAAGTGAAACAGTTTCTGAAGAACATTGAAGAACTTTAAGTTTTTTCACTAAATCAAAGAAGAGGAAACTTGAACTTCCGGAGTTTAGGATTAGGTAAAATTTCTTGTCTCTTTATTTTCCTTTATTCTGAAAGAGTATCTGAATTTTATGCATTCCTATACAGAGATGGATTAAAGTGAAGACATGCAATTTGACTGCACCTAACACTATAATTATACAAGGTTATATTCCATCCAAACTTCCTGCACCAGGCTTGATCTCATCCATGATCTGCTTGAAAACCTACAAGTTCACAGCAGCCCAAAGTCAGACCAGCTCAGCTCTCACTCATGGTTATGTTCACTCTAAGGCATGTGCCACCTTTCTCTAAATGACCAATGTCATATTTGTCCTCAGTGTTCCTGCTTTATGCTGGCACCCTGACCTCTACCTACTGCCCCATCACCCTCTTGCCAGGGAGAGCGGGGTGGGGGCTCTTCTGGACACCCTACACACGGGCTGTACCTGGCCCAGAGAAATCCTCTGCCTGGTCAGCAGGTGGCGACAGTCAATTGTTGCCAAACCACCCAGGGCAGTGGCTGGGGAGGAACTTGAACCACCCATGGCCCTGAGCCTCCAAGGGTTCCAAACTCATCTTCCATAGAAGGTGGGAGAAAGTAGGACACTGCCCCTCAAACATTTGGAAACCACCTCACATGAAGAAAAGGGAGATAAGAGCAAGCCACTCAACTTCTAGTCCACAGACCACAAGCAAACCTACCAAAGGGATAAGGAAGCTCTACCACCCAACTGGTAGCTCTTTCCTGGTGACGTGCAAATATTTTTTTGCTGATGCACTGGTAAAGACCTTATTCCTGCAAAGACCTTATACTTGCAGGGCAAACCTCCCCTGACAGCAAACCTCCCACGAGGAAACACTATAAACCATCAAGAGAACCCAAGCAAATAAGAGCACCAATCTGTTTTAAGAGATGTAAAAGGTGTGTATGAAGAGCTGGGGAATAATAAGGCAGAAAATTTCTGCTAGAGAAAAAACATCTAAATGTATTCACACCCTGACCTTGCTAACACATCCATGACAAGCAGCACATGGACAGACTGAATAGATTTTGAAACTGAGAGCAAGGAAGAGCTGAATAGTGTCTCAGTTGAACTGCAAGGGCAGAGACAGGTTAAGGGTCTGCAGCCTATCATTAATACTGCTCTATTCTTCTATTTCTGAAACACCTGAAGATGAGCAGGCATTTCTCCATCCCTGAATCAGAGCAGAACTACACCAGTATTCACTGCTAGCAAGAAAACTTGTTTTCTGTCAGAATTGTTCTCCCATGTCAGGTTGGCATTTATGCCTGGGAGTGTCAGAAACTTTCCCATTTCCTCGCCTATTTCATTCTTGCAAATGACAGTAGTTTGTCCACTTACTGTAATGGGATGAAAGGTCTACAACATGGCACTGTGTAATTACCATCAGAAAAGCATTTTTCTTTTCCATGTGAAGAGGGAGAAGGTAGATAATATTATAAAGACAATGGTCTAGCAGAGAGAGAGGGAAAGACCAAACCAAAACAACATAAATGAACCCTATTCATCACATTATATATTTCTGAATGCAGACTCCAGAAGCAGGTGACGACAGATCTCAACAAAGCTCTCGTGATGAAAGTCTATCCTATCCCAAGAACTGGGGGACTTCAATCTTACATATAAACATCCACATAACATTTCACTTAATGTGCTGATGCCAGTGTCCTGCCTGGACTGGAATATACCCTAAGAATGAATTATAAACTCTCCAAAAAAAACCCAAACCTCCAGTCTACTGTCTGGCACTGAGCAGCTCCTGTGTTTGATGCTACAAAGAAGATGAGCTGGGAGTGTCCCCTCCTGCACCAGAACCCAGTGAAGGAAAGTGCCAAGTTGAGGGTGCCTGGGCCAGAGGCCAAGCTTTGCCATCAACTTCACAGTGAAGGCTTGAGTTAACAAGTACCAGCTGCACTGTGGCATCAAACCACAGGCTGCCTTGAGGAGGAGGAAGTTTGCATCAGTAGGAGTCCCCAGAGGCACCCTATGTGACTCATTCTGAATTCCTCTGAGGGCTCTGGGCAAGTGTGTGATGAAAGCTGGGTTTTGGGGGGGGAGGTGTAAGGCTAGCTGATGTGATGTAGTAGTGAAATGGGACAGGTTGGAGGGAGTTTACCACTACTAGAGCACTGATGATTTAGAGGGACACAGAGTGGCTGTAGCTCTTAAGCAAGGGCACAGGTGAGGTATCATCATAAATCCTCTGCCCTTTTACCTGGGAGAGAGAAGGGCAGCCACAGTCCAACCATACGCTCAAATATCACCTCAGGCTTAAACCTCTAGATTACTAATGGATTAAGAAAAGACTTTTTAAATGCACATGAACTATGGGCAAGATTCCTGCTCTGAGGATAAGAATGTGTGGAAGGATGAGAAAAGGGTACACAGATACCACCGGGAAGAGAGATTTCAACAGATGTCTGGAAGGCACTAGGAGGATAGGAGGGATGGATGAGGCTATAAGGATGCCAGGTAGATGGAGTAATGAACAGAAAGCTGGTAAGGCCTATCTACATCACTGGGTACAGTCCTAGCAAAACAGATGATTGTCACAAATGTTTCATCCAAGTGAACCCATAGAACTTCTACCAGCACAACAAAGTAGACTCATCCAAAAGCACATTAAAGTGATAGCCCAGAGGCATGAAAACAAACAGAAATAGGAAAAAGAAAAAGAGAAAGGCAAAGGGAGGATTCATAGGAGTACAGGTATCCCTTTCTTCAGCAGCTCCTGGACAGCTCATTTCAAAACCATATTGCATTTGCATGTGACTATCGCAGCCAAACATGCTCTCTGACATCCTCTATGGGCTGTTTTCAGAGGAAGACAGGCTTTCCTCTGCTCACCATGCCCTGATGAAACTGTCTGACACACTTCGCAAGTGCAAATTAGAACCACGCTACTTACCATCAACCCCTTCTTGCAAATTCATATTTGCAAAGAGAGTAAACTAGAAACCCCAGGTGTTGATAACACAGAGTTGTTAAGAGAAACTAGAGTAGGAAGGAGTTAAATTCAGAACCTCATCTACCACAAGCATTATAATACAAAATCTTTTTTTTAATGGGAAAGCACAAGAGCCTTGCTTAAACACAGATGGAAGTACCTAAATGTACTGCCTCTTCTACAAATGAATTATCCAGCAGTTCAAATAAAGGTGAACTAATACTGACAAAATCAAGTAAAACTCAATCAATGTGGGAGGAAAAAACCCCCAAAATGCTTCAACTAAAAAATGTTAGCACGTATAACCATGAGGGGAAAAATTTTGCTTGGCAACTCCTGCTCTGTCTTCTTAAATGTGGATAAAGTTTATAAGCATTTGCAGGAGTTTCTTGTACCAACCATCATAGGAGAAGTCTATGGTGCTGTGATAAAACCATGCTGTCCAAGGGGTCTGACTGTCAAAGGTGGGTGTCTGGATTCAAAGCTACCTTGGTGGGGAAACCTGAAATCCTGAGTATCAGTGACTTTTCATTCTATAGAAATTATTTACAGAGATCTTAAATTAAATTCAATGTATATCTACAACTAAAAAGTCATCACATGGGTACTAGGGATAAAACCTGTTGTTCTACAGAAATTAATCTATCATTCTATACCATTTTTTGGGCTTAAACCTTAAAAAGAGTAGAGAATAACCACAGTCTACAGCAGAAGCATGATTCTCTATGATCAGCTGGAAGCCTTATGAAAAGGACTTGATCGTCCTTTTATTTTGTGCATTTGTAGTGTAACTTTTATAGAATCCCTTCAGTTACTCAAGTTTCACAGACTGGATCAAAAATGCCAACACAAAGTTTATCATATTCTATTCAATTCTCCAGGCATTTTTCATTAAGGTACAGTTGAATAGCTTTAGCCCTTTAGCTGTCAGATTATCAGATATAAAGATACATTACTCTAGCTCAGTGGTTTTCAACCTTTATGCTCAGCAGCCCCCAAACGTTTGTTTTTCAGAAGACACA